CCGTACCTAGTGCGGAGGTCGTGGATGAGGTCCACGATCTCCGCACTAGACCAGGCGGGCGCCCTCCTCTTGCAGCCCCGGGTAAGCTCCTGGGAGCCGCTAGCCTGGTACCGGGAAGAGGAGGAGGGCTGGGTGGCAGCGGGTGGCTGGCTCGTGCCGTGCCAGGTGCAGGGTCTACTGAATGGGTGCCTGCCGGCTTGCACCTGGCACGGGCACAGTAGCCAGACCATGCTCCTTTAAGGGCTCCGGGGCCGGGAGGGGGGCAGACAAGTTTCCCTGATGGTGCCCAGAGTGGCCACCAGGGCAAGCTGGGAAGGGCTAGCCTCCCACTAGTTTGAATTAAGGGGCTACACAACCCTTAATTCGAACTACTTAATTCGAACTAGGCGTTAGTCCTCGTAGAATGAGGTTTACGTAGTTCGAATTAAGTTCGAACTAGCGGTTTGTATGTGTAGCGCCTATCAAAGTTAATTCAAACTAACGTCTGTTAGTTCGAATTAACTTTGTAGTGTAGACATACCCGAAGAGACTTTTCCAGAGAAGCAGTGGACTGAGGCAGGGTCTTCAAAGGCTGAGAGGCTGAATATGGGCTGCACCAGGTGAAGTGCAGCAAGTTGCCCTTTCCATTGGCAGATCACAAAGCTACAATACAACCCATAATACACTGGGGCTAATGCTTTCCATAAGGAGCAGAATCCAGCCCATAGTCACAAGTATTGTATCAGTTCTCAGGGACTTATATGCAGCAGGACTGACTCAGTAATCCACTAGGTCTTTTCCACATTCCATTCCTGTGTTCTTGAGGGATTGTAGCTTACTGTATAAAGGATGTGAACCTTTCTTGCAAAATAGTTACAGACAAAATAATTAGAGGTCACTTAAGCAGGGTTATGTATCTTTTATTTGTGATGTTTGAATTCCTTAGGTTCATACACTAGGATTGATCTGACAAGTAGTCTTCCATTTTACCCTTTTTTTTAAATATGACTTGAACAGTTAGTGTCGGAGTCTTTTTTCATACAACTGAACCCTTCATTTAATCACAAATAGAACTAAAAATGTCTTGAACATTGCTAAAAATTAACATAATGAACAGCACTGATGCATGGAAGGAAAAAAGGAATAATTTGTTAAAAAAGAGCATCTTCATTAAAAATGACCAAAAAAATCCTCTATCTAATCACTGGGGAAAAAAAACAAAAATTGTGAACACAGAAGCTCAGCTGACTAATTCATTTCTTCAATGGGAGAATATTTTATTAAAGTTTTATTATAATATATTCATTTAAAACCAGAAAAATCTGTTACACAGAAAAGAAACAACCACCCCATTTCAAAGCTTCAACTTTGTTTGGCTAACTTTCAAATAGCGTTGCCTGCTGTTCTCTCATGATGAAAAACAAAAGATCAAATTCGATCCACTAAATTTAGAAGAATAAAACTACAAGGTTATTATTAGTGATTCAGAGGCCACTTTTGGCTTGCTGTACCCAGGAAAAACCCATTCTAAAGATCTCCCTTCCTACAGATATACTGACAGCTTGCTAAGTATTGCGCAATACCCATAACATTGTCCCATTCCTAAAGCACTTATGCGGTAGCATACCTATATTCCTATTTTATACACATTAGATCTTATTCTGTAGTTCTCACATGCAGCCCTCACCTTCTTTTCCTCATTGGAGGGAATGAAAGGAACAAAAACCAAGCTCTTGGAGCTAAATGTTGCCAAAGGCCAGGAACTGAGGCTACTTGATTTTGGGAAGCATAGCTGGATGCAGCTGGGGAAGAAATTCCTGGCAGTAGCACCGTCCAAACCAGGAGCAGGCCAAATATGGCCTGCAGGCTGGATCTGGACTTCCAAACCACCAGATCCAACCTCCAGGCTCAGTAGGAGCCTCAGCCCGAATCCCTGCCTGCCCTGCCCCCACATGCTGCAAACAGCTTTCTGAATGCTGTGAGCCCAGGGGAAAGGGGCAGAGGATTCACATGCTGCGCCCCCTCCTCCCCGCCAGCACAATCTTACAGCTCCCATTGGCGGGAGATCAGGCAGCATGTGAAGTACTCCTTCCCCATGGGCTTGCAGTGTTCAGAGCAGCACACATGACCTCTGCCTGGCTGAAGAACTTGCTGGGCAGGGCTGCTGGCAAGAAGCTACCTAAGTAAGCACCTCCCGGCCACAGCCTGCCTCTGGTATCCCAGCCCCTCCCTCCCCTGCAGCCCTAAATCCATGTAGCCTAAATCCACTGCACCCTTGCTCCTGCACCCATACCCCCTCCCAGACTCTGCACCCTCTCCTATGCCTCTCCTCCAGGACACAACCCCCTCCCAGGCCTTGCATCCCAATCCCCGCACCTTCTCCTGCACTCCTGCCCCAGGTCACAATCCCCTCCCAGATCCTGCACCCCTTCCTACATACCTGTTTCAGATCAGAATCCTCTCCTGCATCCATACCTCCTCCTGGACCCCTTCCTGCACCCCAGTCTCCTGTTCCAAGTCACAGCCCCATCCCTCACCCAAACTTATTCCCAAATCTCAGCCTCTCTCCTGCATCCCAATCCCTTATCCAAAGCTTCCTTCTGCACCCCACCTCCATCCCAGGCCCCACATCTCCTCCATTAATATCATGGAAGAGTGCAGACCTTGACCACTTACCAACTTCTTAGAATGGCCACCCCATCAAAAATGATTGCCCACCCCTGCTCCAAGCCATAGGAATTTCCCCAAATAAGATAATCATGGCAATATATGGGTACTGGGTTTTGCATGAATGTACAAGCTCTCTTTAAGTCTTTGTGGGCTCACATCACATATCACTGCACATCCCACATTATGTAAGACTTGCTGCCTACAGCGGGATAACTTGGAAAGAAACTCAAGTTTCCTACATGCAGTTTCGCCGCTTGCTCATGGGCGCCCATGATATGGCTCTTAGCTGTCACTAAGGGAAAACTCCCACTGAAGGTCAATGGAACTTTTCCCGGAGTAAGAACCAAAGGAGGAGTTTGGCATATGACCCCATTGTATTATGTGCATCAAAGAGCAGTGCACCCACAAGAACAGCAATTCCCAAAATTCCTCATCAGTGTTGGTTCTGGGGCAGTTTTGGTTACACAGCAACATCCCAAATTCTGGCATAAAGCCAGCAATGTTCTTGATCAACAAAAGCAGGTTTTTCTTCTTGGATTCCCCTGAAACTGACTGCTATCTTTAGCATTAAGATTAGGTAAGCACCGGAATAAAGATCAATCCCTTTTTTAGAAGGCAAGAAACAGAAGACACAATGGCTATAACCCAAATGAAGGATTTAAGGAGTTAATGGCAAAACCCCCCAGAAGCACACACATATTTGAAGCTGAACTATACAAAAGGCCACAAGAAAGTTAAGAATTCTCCATAGCAATCTAGTGGATGGACTTTCTCTCTTATGTTAAATGGGGTAGTAAGATTTTCATCCATTGAAATTAGTAAGATTTTCATCCATTTTAGTCACTCTCTTGTTTAGTATGCTGATGTGTCTGTATAAAACAGGGCAAGTGATTAGCAACTGAAATAAGACTATATTTATCTCTCATGATGTATTGTCAAGGGTGAAATTAAAAGCTGGACTCATGTTTACAGGACCCTGACTCTCTGCTTTCTCATGCCAGAATTAATTTTAGACTTGTAAATCCGACAATACTCTACACATTGTCATTATTGGGCTGTTAAGAGTCACAGAGATGAGGAAGGAGGAAAATGAGCCATGCCACACTGTTTGAAGCACCTAGGCCAGTGCTGAATTAATCACGTATATTATCTTCAGAAAGACAGAGGACTCTTGCAATTCTTGTTGGGAAATATTTGGCTAGAGTCAATGACAGATACATCACAGTGGTGCAATGACATGCATTTCATTATGTCCTAGCATATTAGCTTTAGGGACTGAGGTTTTCATAGACTTTTTGTAATAATAAACTTGCTTGGGCAGCTATGAGATGCCCATTTCATAACTGCTCACTGGGCCAGACTGCACTTAGCCCTGCACAGGAGCGCAAAGAGGAAGGAACTCAGAGCCATTCCTTACTTCTTGTACCTCTGTACAGGGATCAGACCTCAGCACAAGGATAAGACTAACAGCAGCAGCAGCAGCAGAACTGTGCCCAAAAAGGATGGGCCAAGTCTGGGTCCATGTTTACACCCCTTTTCTATATCAACGACCACAGGAGGCAAGTACACACTCCATCTTTCAATGGCTGGGGCTGCTCCTGGACTCTTGTAGTGTCATGCCATTGGAATGCTGGCTGAGACAGCCATGATGTCTCTGGGGACTCTGCTGCAGAATCTACAGCAGCCATTAGGGAGAGCACAATAGTTATTAAATTGAACTGAGACCCAATTAAAAAACAATTAAAACAGTTTTTCAAATTTGGTGAAATTATCACAATCACGAAAATATTAACCAAGATAACAGGGAACAAATTCCTGCACATTTTAGAGTTACACTATGTTAATTACACCCAAACAGTATATTAGTAAGTGGCTTTAGTGAAAAGTAGAATGAACATGATTTTGTAGATAAAATGTTAAGCTTTTCAATTTTATCTAGCCATGGTTTGATTTTTTTGCATATAGATTCCACAGATTTGCATCTTCTTTATATAAACTTTCATTGCATATTGCAAAGCTGTGGAAATATCAGTAGTAACCTGCCATTTGTTTTAGCCCTTCAAAATGTTAGAAATTAGAAATACAGGATTTGCCACACCAGACCAGCAGTTATGTCTCCAACTGCGGCTAGAATTAGATAGTTCAGACTAAGGTACAAGAAACCAGGTGATGGATAATTATCATTCACCTTTGCAACAATCCTGTGAAATTCTTGGCCTCAGTGATATTTTGTAGCATTGAGTCCCATGACTAGGCAGTGGTTAAGCACCAGCCAAATTAATATTAAGAAGATCATGTCCCTTAGTGCATTAAAGAGGTAATCTGGTTGCAGAAGAGCTGTGAAAGGGGAAAGAGCACTTTAGTTCAATGTAACAAACTGAAAGTTGAACATTCCTTGAAGGCAAGGGCTAACACTACGGGTTGAACCTATCTAGTCTGGCACTCTCTGGTTCAGCAATATCAGTGGTCCAGCATGATTTGACTAAGCTGGATGTTCATTTATCATGGGTGTGGCCAAATTTCCTGCTGCTTGTAGCCACCAGTCCTGGTTCTCAGTGTTCTGTGCTGTAAGTTACCCTAAGCAGTGGAAGTGTTAGAAATGCTGCTAGACAACATGACTGCCTGTGGTTTGGCAAATTCTCTGGTTCGGCACTGGTCAGGTCCTGCTGGTGCTGGACTAGAGAGGTTCAACATGTATTTGCATAATTCTAAAGATAGGGAAAAACTACTAATTTAGCATGATTTGAGGAGAATCATTTTGATAACATAACATGCCAAATTCCTTAGAAAGCATAGAATATATGGCACTGTTCTATATATTTTCCACTAATTAAACTGGGTCTCTAGAGATCTTCTCTCAGTAAACACTATTAAAATATTTGTAGTGGGCCCATCACCATAGCACACTGTACATGAATTAATAAGTTTACGATGAATAACTTGAGTTCATTGATTTAAATTAGACTGTATGCTGAGAACTGTTATACAATATCTTTCTAGTATGGAAGACAGGCTGTCTTATAAGACACTATTTGCATACAGTACAATCATGCATTATGGTTTTGACCTCACCTTCACACTTACAATTCTTCATTAATTTACCCCTTTTTCCCAACAAAAGGAATATCTTCACCTGGAAAAGAATGAGGTTGGTGGAAAAAGAAATAGGACAGGGCGAAAAAACAGAGGGGAAAAGTTAAATATATGCACCAAACACAGCATATAGGACATTTAGTTCAACTCTAATTACCACCATCCTTCTTTGTACAGATACTGGGCCAGACTGCTGTCAATCACGCTGGTTTAACTCCAGGGCAACTCCGTTGAAATCACTGAGGTTAGTCTGGGTTTACACTGATGTAGCTGGGATCATAATCTGGCCCACTGTCACCTGAGAGCTGAATCAAGAAAATACACAAAGGACACACTGCTAGGTGTGCTAGAGAAAGAACCTTCGTTCTTATGGATGCTGAGGCTCAGTGGCATTTTGGAACATTTACCCACAAACCTTGGCTGGTAGCTAGACCCCAATGTAGGCATAGAAGGCTCCATGCAAAAATCTTGCTGAGTTTCCAGGGACTTAATATTGTGCTGAACTTGGAAAACAAAGTACACAAAATCAAAATACACAAAATCTTTCCAGCTAACAATACAGGTTCATTTCCAAAGTACAAATACACAAGTCAGGCTAAAAACCTGAACTGCAATAAAGCTTGAACAATAGGAACATGGAACGTCTTTGTGACTGAAGAATTCCTCCTCAATAGATCAGGAACCAGAAAAAAATGCCAAGTCATTCCTCTCTCACTTGGTAGTCCATATCATTCAGAGGAGGTTCCTAGCAGCATATTTAGAGTTAAGAGCATACATAATGTTGGGAAGCATCTGTGAAAGTAACCTTCTGTCCGTAACTTTCTCACGGGTGGTAATTAACAGGCAGATTCAGCCCAGGAGGCCTCCCATGACCTCTAGCTCTGCAATAAGGCGGAAACGGTATTTCTCTTATGTTCGCCAGGTGGCTCTTTAGCGACACATCCTGGTTGTCATCTCTTTCTGTAAAGCAAAAGAGGGAATTAAAAATCAAAAGGTCACCAGTTTTACAATATGCTCATAGCCTCTGCCCATTTATTATTTGAACATTTCATCACACCAGAAAGAGCCATGTAGCTTCATATGTCACATGTCTGTGCTATTCTTTGTCATCTTCAAGGACAGTGCATGTAATTGGAAATTAGCATAAAATCTTTTATCATTTCTGACATCTTTAATGCCATCTTAATTCCCTAACTGTGCCAGCTAAATGGCACTCTATCCTACATAAAGGAGATAAATCACCCGCAAAAGTCCTCTTCAGCTATCATGCTGGAAGCATTTTAAATTAATGTAAAAAATGCAATTCCAATTTGTCATTGAACTTGAAAGCAAGTGGAAGAATCATCAGTTCTGAAATATTAAAGGTAAATATTCTAGCTAATTACCACACCCTGAGACACAAATATTAGATCCTCTTAGATTTAAGCTGGAGCTGCAGAGTTTGGGTTCAGAATTGAATCTGGGAAATTTCTCACACATCAGCAATGTTCTGATGTGGGATTTGGTTCAGTCCATTATAGAGATGGATCCAAGCCATGAAGTTTGCGTCTGGACTTTCCTGCCTGGCTCCTTCTTGCCACCAGCCTCACTCTGCCCTGCCAAACCCCCCACCTCCCTTCCTGCTATGCTAGGCAGCCCAGCTCCCTGCACACTGAGCTCCTGGCCCCGCTGGGCAGCCTGCTATAGTGTGCTGAGCTCCTGACCCTGCTGTGGAGTGCCAACCTCCTGGGCCCACAGGGCATCCCCACTGGGTTGTACCTTACTCCCTAGCTGCAGTACACTGGGAAGCCCAGCAGCGGGGACCCAGCCTCCAGCCATCTACCAGGACTTTCTGGTCCTGGAACATCCATGGTCCTGCCGGATGATGGATGTTGCCGGACCAGGTTCAACATGTATTACTTATTAAAACTGCCGCAGGATCTTCAGCGTTCATATAAAAAATGCACAGAATTTCAGATTGTAAGTTTCATAAAAAAAAAACCCATGTGTGATCACAGGTCCATTTTATTGTATCGCTACGTCATAATACATAGTAAATGAGCTGCAGGGTCCCCAACTAATCTACTTCTGAAATATCAAGGACTGAGCAAATGCCACTGAGATCAGAATTTGAGTGGCCAGAGAAAATAGCCTTTCCAAAGCTGAGGTTCAGATCACTAACTAGCCACATTGGCTGGCAGTTTAATAACACATGATATGACTGGTTTATACATATGTAACTAGGATCTAAGTGATCACAACTGCTAAAGTATATAGTGTAATGTACAGATAGTTATCAAAGAATATTGATTAATACATGCTTGGTAGCTAGATTTTTTCCTCTAGCAGCTAGTCGTAGGGTAAGACTGGGTGCCCCCTGGAATGGCACCTTCATGGCAGTCAATATATTAGAGGTGTTTCGACTGACCCCCTCTTTAGTTTTTCTTGCCTGCTACTCTGACAGAGGGGAAGGAGGATGGGTATTGGAATGGAGAGGAACAACATATCTTGAAGAACAACGGTTACAGGAAGGTGAGTTTGGGCCGGCAGGCCTCCTGGAGGGGTTTCTCCGCCTCCGGGCCAGTGGGCGGCGCGTCCGCCCCACTGCACAGCCTCTTAAAAAATAGTCCCCCGAGTCTCTAGTCCCAAAGTTCAACTCCCGACCTTCCGTCAGGTTGCGGTGAGAGGCAATTAGTCCAGGGGCCCGGCCTTGCTTCAGGCTGAGAGGGGAGGCAAATGTTCCGGCGCCTGGCCTTCCTAGGGCTTCCTAGCGCTAGCCATGGGCTTTTACCAGCCCGAGCTATTCCCTGGGCCACTTCCTTTCTCTCCCTCAGCTGGTATCTGATCCTCTGGCAGGTCCCCTGGGGAGTCAAGGAGGTTCTCCTCCGGTAGAAGTCCCAGCGGCCTGATCCAGGCCTCAGTGGCTTCCAGGTCCTCTGGCTCTGCAGCAGGCAGGGTTGTCTGGGCTGGCCCTTGGGGGTCCTGCTCATCCAGCAGCTCTGGCAGGCTCTCACGGCTGGGGGGTGCTGGCTGGCACCAGGGTTCAGGGAGGTCCCACTGGTAAGTCAGGTCCTCCTGGCTCTCAGGTACGGCCGGTGGGGCCTGTCAGTTCGGCAGGCACACACGGACCCGGGGTACAGGCGGGCGTCGGGGCTCCAGCAGGGCCTCGGGTTCAGTCAGATCTTTGGGGTCCTTTCCTGCAGGCCCAGCCCCCACTCCAGTCTCCCTCTCAGGTAGGTCTCCGGTGAGTCAGAGGGCTGGCTGGTTAGTGGGCTGAACCAGGTCTCTGGGCCAGGGAGCTCTGGGCAGGCCCCTGTCTCCCACTGAGGTTGGGCCCAGACTGAGCTCTCAGCCTGGCTCTTTATAGTCCTAGCCCCGCCCACTGACTTCTGGTCAGGTGATAGGGAGGGGCTAGGCTGTGCCCAAAATGGCTCCCGGAAGGGGATTCCCTCCTTGGGGGTGGTGGGTGGCCTTGCCCCCCCACTACAGTGAATTATTGTTTTTTCTTCTCTGAGAATTTGTTCATGTACATTCCAGTCAGGTGACTCACAAGCCCAAGTTCAGGTAGTGCGGTCAAAGTCTTGCACTGATTGGCGCACTGCTCATCCAAATGCTGCATCGTTCCTAGCCTGATGTGTGATTGCATAGTGTGCAGCAAAGGTGCATATAAAGACCAGGTTCTCCTGAGCAGGGATCTGGGACAGGAAGACTGTAGATGAGGCCTGACCGCTGGTGAAGTGTACAGTGAGTGGAGGTGGAGGCGCTCCTGTGAGGTTGTAGCATTCCTGGACGCAGGATACTTACCCATGACCAGGGGTTGGGAACAGGTCCCATATGAAGAGAGGCTAAAGAGACTGGGACTTTTCAGCTTAGAAAAGACGAGACGGAGGGGGGACAGGATAGAGGTCTCTAAAAGCAGGAGTTGGGTGGAGAGGGTGCATACAGAAAAGTTCTTCATTAGTTCCCATAAAGAAGGACTAGAGGGCACCAAAGGAAAGGAATGGGTAGCGGGCTTCAAACTAGTAACAGAAAGTTGTTCTTCACAAAGCAAAGAGTCAACCTGTGGAACTCCTTGCTGCAGGAGGCTGTGAAGGCTAGAACTAGAACAGAGTTTAAAGAGAAGTGAGATAAAGTGATGGAGGTTGGGTCCATGGAGTGGTATTAGCCAGGGGGTAGGAGTGGTGTCCCTGCCCGAACTTTTTGGAAAGCTGGAGAGGGATGGCATGAGACAAATGGCTTGGTCACTGTCTTCGGTCCATCCCCTCCAGGGTCCCTAGGG